CTGCTTTTGGGTGACTCCTTGGGTGTGGCTGGACAACTGTGATGTTTTGTATGCTTTATCAGTTGTATATTTTGAATATGTATTTGTCAATCATATATGGACATCTTATTCATTCTACTTTTAGCTCAATAAAGTATAGCCTTTTAGAGAACAGAGAATACACCTTTGTGGAAGTCCTGTTTCCTTCACGGTCCTGCACACCTGTGGGAGGAGTGCTCCCACCTGGCCATCGGGGTGGGGTCACCTCTAGACCTCTGCACCTGCTCCTTCCTCTCCAGGGCCACATTCAACTCACCTGTACCTGGGCTGCGCCTACTCATCAGGAAACGTGGATGTTGATTAAGCCAGGATATTTATTAGGCACTAAACAGCCATCACTGCTTAGAGAGAATGAGCTAATTTAGGCTCCACAATTAGAGTTATGTTCATGATCTTCAAGTAGGTGCTAGGATTGCTGGTATCAGTGCCAAAACATACAGTTAGAGGTAGCTGACTGTGGTCGGGCATGGTGGTGCATGCTTGTAATCCCTGTGGCTGGGAAGCTAGGCTGGAGAATCGTGAGTTCAAAGCCAGCCTCAGCAACTGCAAGGCGCTAAATAACTTGGTGAGACCCTGTCTCTAAATAAAATACAAAATAGGGCTGGGGAGGTGGCTCAGTGGCCAGGTACCCCTGAATTCAATCCCCTGTGACTTCAGTCCTAACCCTGCACAGGAGTGAGGTGTCGTGAGAAATCTGTCAATGCATCTGCTCTTGGCAACTGGCTAACCTAGGGCTAAAAGATCTTCATATTTATGACGATTACTTGGGCTGGTATTTAGACAAAGGTCAGAAAACATGTGACGGGTATTTGGGTTGTTTCCAGTCTCTGACTGAGAGGATCCGTGAGGCATGAATCATCATTGACATCTATATCACCTGTTTCACATTTGGAGCATGAATTCCAAAAGGGTAATGCCAATTCCCAGGGCATGTGTTTGTGATTTTTGTAACTTAGACATCAGCATGTCCTGCTTTAGGGATTGGGCCAGGTTGCACTTCTAGCAACACCAAGGACACTGGTCTTCTGCAGTGGCTTCCTGGGGCAGTGCGGTAAATAACCTTGCAGTTCTGGCTGTCTGATAGGAGAAAAATGGGATTGCAAGGTCATTTGAATCAGCATCTTTCTTATCATAAGAGATGTGTGAGTTTTCATATGCTTAGGAATCACTTGCATCGGATGCTTGTGAATTATTTGTTCAAAGCATTTTGTTTGAATGACCATTAACAGTTAAATGAACTGTGGCACATTTATTTCTACCAGAGGGTATTATGGCACCACAGAGGAGCAGGAGAACAGCCTCCAAAGTGGCTGGGAAGTGGAGAAAACAAGGTGAAGAATATGTTTTGAGTAAAAAAGCAGTACAGTAAGAATAAATATCAATATTTTTCTCCATGTGCATGAAGAGTCTGGAAGGATAGAAAAGAAACAAATATCCTTGCCTGTGGAGAAGGCAAGGACAGACGGGGACTTGTGGATGGGGACAGACTTCACAGAGTCTCTTTTATAAACAGAATCAAAACAAACAACACACAACATTTGTCTTGAAAATCATCAGAATGTTGAGAGTCCTGCTCTGAACCCTAGGGCATGACAGGATTCTTGAGGCTCCTGGTCCTCTCTGCTCCTCAGGGAGGGGGCTGTGCAGGTGACTGGGGTCCTGGAGATGGAGATCTAGCTTTGAGGTGCTTTGCCAGAAGGATGGAAAGAGCCTCCAGTTGGAGTGTGTTTGGATGGAGCCTTGTTTGAGGACGTCAAGAGAAGCACCTGGCACGTACCCAGTGTTTCCATATGCAGTTGACTCTGAGGTCCATCCTTAGAGTCAGCAGAAGAGGCAGGTTCTGGGCAGCCTCGATTTTGTATAGAGGAAGCCGGACCTCGAGCCTTTGCCCAGGACTTGGAGATGTCGACTGAGGCTGGCATCCGGTTGCCACCTCCCACTTTGCACTTCCTTCTCCTCCGAGAAGCTGGTGAAGGAAAAGCACCTGGACCTGTCTCCAAACAAGAAGAGGCACGCGTCCCACCCACAACTCTGCTCCCCTTCTTAGAAGGCCAAGTGGAAGCCAGGCTGAGATCCCAGGCTAGCTCATCAGCAAACTGAGCACATACTCAGGGCATCTGCCAAGCGTTTAAAGATTTAAGAGTCTGCTGAAAAGAACTGAAGTCCTCATGGAGGGAACTCCTGGATCCCTATTGACCCTCCCCGCACACATGTGCCGCTCGGGGCTGTCTTTGTTGTGAATTATGCATGCGCCGAGAGGTCCAAGTCCCTGCTCTGGATTGAGCAGAGCCACCAAGGAGTGAAAGGCCTCTCTCTGGTGTTGGTACCTCTTGCTGCCTGGACAGCTTTCTCCATTTTGCTTCCTGTAGACACAGCACAGGGAGGGCAGGGGGAGCTGGAGGAGCTCCCAGGTTCTCCTCAGACCACATTCGTACGTGGTGACAGCCGTGAGCCTGGGAGGCACGGGGACCAGCAAAGCTCTTACCAGGAGCTCAGCCCTACAGCCACGTGGCTGGAGCATTCCTGGCGGTGCTGAGTTGTCCCTGGCCTCTGTGGTGTCCCAGAGCAGTGCGACCTCAGACCAGGTCCCTCTCCCTGGGCACATTCAGTTTAATCCCAGGGGGAAGGTGCTCTGTGTGGGTCTCTCAGGGGTAGAAACGGCACTGAAATGTGACTCCCAGGGCTGTGCTTCAAATTGAGTGTGGAAAATACTTACATGTAGGTTTATATACGTTAGTAAACTCAGGCTAACGTTAGAAGACTCTTCCTTAGCGGATGTCGGACCTGCTGTAGAGAAAACCCTCTGGCCTGCTGTGCAGGGTCCTCCTTCTGTCCCACAAGCTGAGTCCCTAGTGAGCCCCTAGGCCTGCAGTCCTGGATCTGCCTGATTCTTTCTTTCTGTCTCTGGACACTTACTCCCTTGCTCAGCCGAATCGCAGGGCTGGGTCTTTCTGAGAGGGCCAAGGGTTGCCTGCTCCTAAGGACACTGTCCCTCCCTCCAGGCTCCTGCACCTAAGCCCGCCCTCCCCCAAGCTGTCCCCTCCCTCTCTCCTCAGTTGGTCACTCTCCAACAGCCATGGCTCCTCATCCGGTCTGTGCTTCCGGAAGCCTTCTCTTTCACTGTTAAAAAACGGGTGAACTTATGCTTCCCGAATTCCCCCTTGGGATGCCGCTGTTCAATATGGGGCATCTTTTCTGTGGCTGACGGTAGGATGAGATTTTCTGGTGACTGGATCCTCCTGCCGGGCTCATCGGCGGGGAAGGCAGAATTCTTTTCCTCAGATCTTTGGCTTCCATCTCTAGAAAGAGCCAGTTGCTTGAGTCGTTGCTTTGCTCTCGGTTTTGCCGTAGTTCAAAGGCAGGATCCTTGTTTTAGTCCGCCTTGTTGCTGCTGGGACTAAAGGACCTGACCAGAACCCTTGTAGGAGAGGAAAAGTTTATTTGGGGGCTCACAGTTTCAGTGGTCAAAGTCCCCGGAAGGCCAGGTGCATTCCTGGGGCTTGAGATGAGGCAGAACGTCATGGCTGAGAGGTGCCAGGGGGAAGCGGCTCAGAGAGACTCCACTCACCAGAGACAAAACATACACCCCAGAGCCATACCCCAGTTCCCACCTCCTCCAGCCACACCCCACCCACCTCTAGCCAACACCCAGTTAATCCCATCAGGGGTTAGTTCACTGTAACCCAATCATTTCTCCTCTGAACCTTCTTGCATTGTCTCACATATTAGCTTCTGCAGGGGCGGGGGACCACATCTAAACCATAACAATACCCCCCTCTCTCTTTCTCTCTCTTTATTTCACAAAATACATACTGGGACCTGTTGCCTTTATCTCACATTTGGACCAGCACACAAAACTTGGACATGCCTTCTTCAAATCCTAAATTTTATGTATTCCGGCATAGGATTAAGTAGATTTACATTTTTATTTCCTCCTTTGAAATGTTGCTTCTAATGAATGAGGAGATTGAACCAGGACTAGATTTTTAAGGCCAGTGGGATACCAAGCAAGCAGAGAAGACTCCTAGGTAAAATAGAGACTCTTATTATTGGAAACACAGTTGAGTTATTTGACATTTATAATTGAGACTCTGGCTGCTTCCAAGATTTGAAGTGGCTTACAATACATCAGGCAGGCAGAGGAGTGGGAGGCAGGGTGGGATTCTGAATGGCTGTGGGAGATAAGCAAATTCAGCCACAGCAATTATTGGGCACCTTTGGCTTACAAAGACACCAAACTTTCTGCCCTGAGTGAATGCTGCTGCTGTTTGGATATGTGGCCCTCAGAAGCCTACCTGTGAAAGGTTGGGTTCCTAGCTTGATGCCATTATGTGGTGGTGGAATCTTTAAGAGATAGCCCCTAGAGGGAGGTAGGAGGTCATTGAAATTTTTTCCTAAAGGGTACTGTGAGGTGCTGGTCTCTTCCTGTCTTTCTTCTTATTTCCTGGCTGCCACAGAGTCCTGCCGTGATACGTTGTTTCACCACAGCCCCAAAGCACTGGGACCAACGGATCATGAACATTTCCTTTAAAATAAACCTTTCCTCTTTTTAAGCTGATTAATCTCATACCATTTGTCACAGTGATAGAAAGCAGACCAACACACTTGCCCAGGGAAGTTCTTGAACTTCTAGAGATCAGTTGCAATGGTCCTCAGCTTAGACAAGCTGGATTTTTAGATATCCAGACATGAAAGAGTTTTTGTTTTATGGCCCAAAGCCCTCACACTGTATTGCTGTGTGTGCTTTTGCATTCTAACCTTTATTTTAGTACATAATTTTCTAGTTATATAAATTTGTGCCTGAAACAAAACTGTTCACCTAGAACCAAGCTACAATGAACGCCAGCTAGTGGGGTCCTCCTAATGTGTGTTAGGGAAGGAAAGGAGGGTCTGCAGCAGGAGGTGTTCTGTTGTTCTGTCCCTTGATGGGATAATCCTCCTGGATATCCTAAAATCAGGGCTCAGCACTTCCACTGGCACCTGCTGCAGAAGAGCATGTTTTTGAAGGCCTGCCTGAGCTCTGGGCTCCGGAAGGCGTAGATGAGGGGGTCGATGACCGCGTTGCACATGATCAGCATGCCGTTCACCTGGAAGAGAGACATGTAGCAGGCACAGTAGGGGTTGTTTGGGCAGAATGTCATCAAGAGGATGTGGAGGACAAAGGGTGCCCAACAGAAGATGAAGACTCCCAGCAGAATGGTGAGCGTGAGGGCCCCCTTCATGTTGGTCCTGGGAAGCCTGGAGATCTTCCTGGCGTGGGAGCGGGCCAGCAGGAACATGTGCACGTAGAGGCCCAGGATGAAGACCAGCATCAGGGGGAACAGGGAGGCGAAGGTGAGCACCGTGGGGACGTGATGGGAGAAGATGACCATGGTGATGCCGCTCCCCGTGCAGAAGGTCCAGACGACCCCCAGGATGATCACGGTGCGGCGCATGGTCATGATGCTGTGGTACTGCAGGGCGTGGAAGATGGTGAGGTAGCGGTCGGCCGCGATGACCGACAGGCTGGAGATGGAGCCGAGCAGGGAGAGGACGAACAGGGAGTCGATGATGTCGTCCGCGGTGGTTTCGAAAGTGCCGCGTGGCTCGAGGTACCCCGTGTTCCTGAACATGATGAGGATGTTCTCCAAGATCTTATACAGGCTGCCCAGCATGTCGGAAACGGCCAAGCTGCAGATGAAGAGGTACATGGGGGACTGGAGGTTCTTATTCCTGATCACGGCCAGAAGGACCAGCAGGTTCTCCAAGACCCCCACGACGGAGATGGTGAAGAACACCTCGTCCGGCAGCACCACGTGAGGACAGTCTGAGTTGTTCCTGGCGCTGTCGTTGGCGGGTCCATGTGCACTGATGAGGGGCTTCATTTCTCCTGCTTGTGGGGAGCGCCGGGATGTTTTCTGGAGGTCCCAGAAAACCCCACTCTTTCTTTAGACTGTTTTCTTCTTCGTGGCTCTTGCTAGAGATCTGAGGTCGAAACCACTTGACGACCTACAAAAGAACATAAAGAAATATCCATCGAAGGACAAAGAAGACCCAGCCGCATCCACTGTAGGAAGACTCTTTTACCAAATATCGGAAATATTTTTAGTGGGATTTTGAGCCCTGAGATCATAGTAAAGATGACCCTTTGACATCTTTCCCTCCCTGTCCTTGTGAATGCCTCTGAGTGTGACAGAGTAGGGTGAACCCCAATGGCACCCTTGAAAGAGAGGTTAAGGAACCACAGGCATTTAGTCTGTTTTCTCCGCTTTTTCAACACTGTGACCAAAAGGCCAGTCAAGAACAACACAGAGGAAGAAAATTTTATTTGGGGCTCACGGTTTCCGAGGTCTGAGACCATGGATGGCTGACTCCATGGCTCCGGGCCCAAGGTGAGGCAGAGCATCGTGGCGGAGCAAAGCAGCTCAGGACATGGCATCAGGAAGCAGAGAGAACTCTGTTCACCAGGAACAAAGAGGAAACCCCAAGGCCCACCCCAGTGAGCCACCTCCTCCAGCCACACCCCACCTGCCTTCAGTTACTACCCAGTTCATCCGCATCAGTGGATTAATCTACTCTTCCTGGGTCACTGCTGCCCCACAACTTGTGGCATGACTCAGAGGTGCCGATGACCATGTGATGTATCATTCCTTCTGTTTCAAAGACTTCTAGGAGGGATACTTCTGAGCCTCCTAATATTTTTCAAAGTGTCTGTGGGTTGGAGATGAATTATGGCTGGAGAAACATCCAGTTTCCCTCAGGCAGAGAAAACCAGTGACCTCGGTTGGTAGCCTCTCCTGGAGAGGGATGAGGAACTTGAACTGGTTCAGTTTCCAGATGGTGGTGTTGATGGCTGAACACAGGTGGTTTCAGGGCGTGTTTTGAATTCACTCCTGGAGAGAGTGTATCTCGAAGTGTAGCTTTGGATCCAAAGCCAGCTGGGAGCTCAGCACTGTCTTACACTAAGGATTTTCCTGGAAAAGAACTGGTCCCCTTGTAAAGGATGGGCAGAGGTCAAGCATTAGGGGGCAGTTCCTGAGCTAGGGAGGTAGATGATTAGGGGAGGACTAGCTGGGCAGACAGCAGCTGCTGGTAGTGTTCTGCCGAGGGGCCTCCTCCTGCCTGCCTGTTTGAGCAGAGCTGGTCTTTCTCTCCTTCGGACTAGAGTTGATTACATGCTTTCCTTGGGTCGCAAGTCCTCCAGCTTTCAGACTGGAGCTGCCTCGGCTCTCCTGGGCCTCCAGAGTGGTGAGGCAGATGTTGGGATTGGCTTCCCCAATTATGTGAGCCTGTTCCTTGCAATGACTCTCTTTATGTGTTTACATCTACAGCTTGTGCAAAGGCTGTGCTCAGCATGCACCACCTATGCTGTCTCTGTTTGGACAGACACTCCCATCTTGGAATTCATTAACTGTGATCAGAATTGGCCTATACTTCCTATCTCAAACCCGTTTGATGGGAAAGTTGGTAAAGAGGAAAACAAAGGAGAGATTTTGGCACTTGGAAACAGGTGGTATGGAAACCCACCTTTAGTCCCTGTGCATTGCTGATCTCCAGCTGCCAATCCTATCCGTCCATGGAAGGGTCCCAAACCCGACAGAAATGAGCAGGACCATGGGGCCCACCATCAACGGGCCATCAACCAACCACTATTTCTGTTGTCAACTTGGAGGCTGGGGATGCAGCCCCGTTCTTGGTTGAAGTGGGTAGTGACACCAACTGGTAGCCTCTGTGAATGCCTGTTATGTGCTGGGACCATTCTAAGGCTGCACATGTTTAACTAATTAGTCCTCGGGACTCCACGAGGTAGGTGTTATTCCAGCTGGATGGTTGAGGAAGACCTCCCAGAGAGGCGAGGTCAACAGTGCGCTAAGCAGAGTCCTCTCAATTGCCACCATCACTGCCCTCTAAGTAACAAGGGGGCAACTGAGACATACACACAAGAGAACAAACAAAGCCTCCCCACCCCAGTCCAAACTGCAACAAAAATTGACATGTGTAATTTCCTTCTTGAGCCAGTGCCCTCCTTATTGGGAGGCGGGATTGGTGAATTCTATCATGTGGCGAAATCCCTGTTTCCCCCACTTAGGTGTTGCTTGCAGAAGGCATTAAGTGACAACTCGAAAAAGCAACACTCACTTTGTTCTAATTTTGCCATGATGCTGTGTTAACAGGCGTTATGTTTTTTTTTTTTTTT